ATAAAAAATAGGTAATACATTTTGAAAAATGAATTATAAACATATATTTATAACAGTCACAGCTTCTAAAGCTTTGAGTACCAATCATGCTTTTAACTTTCTCTAAAGTAACAGTTACAGCCTTTAAAGCCAAAATCTCTACAGCCACAATTCTAAAGTCAAAGCCTAAAGCGAAAGTCATTACCAATCGGACCCTATAAAAGATATTTTTGAATAGTTCAGGTCATTCTTAAAAATTTTATTGTTAGCCGAGATAATTGTCTTTTTCAATTACGAGATTATCTTAATTACCCCCAAAATCCGGATATTTAGGTTAGGTACGGCTAAATCACCGGAGAGGCATAAACCTACCAGAAATCATGAGCAAAATCACCGGTTTACTTCGGTTATCTCCGGTTTGTTTTGAAAATATTATTAACCTCTTGACAGAATTACAACCACGTTTCCCTTTTCTTGTTGTAGTTTGAAACTCTCCAACAAACACACAAAACGAATGTTAAAAAATATCAGGAATGAAAGATTTGCAAAATCTTATAAAAAAAAAAAGGAGCAGAGATTTCGGAGATTCGTTTCTCTGAATACATTGAGGGTATTGTTTCTTCCATCGACTTCGCGTGAACACTTGAGCAAAAAGTTGTGACTCTCTGTTTTGTAGACATGTCGCATAGTAACGGGTACATGGTTGCGACGGGGGATAAGAAGAAGGCGACTCAACCGTCATGGAACTGGGTGCTTATAGACGCGACGGGAGAGTGCAAGGCGCTTGATGTTGACAAGTATGCTGTCATGCACCGTGTTCAGATTCACGCTCGTGATCTCAGGATTATTGACCCGAATCTATCTTACCCTTCCGCTATTCTTGCTCGAGAGAGCGCCATTGTGCTTAATTTGGAGGTGAGGATTGTTTAGTTTTGTTGTTGTTGTTTCAGAGTGTGATTATATTTTGTTTTAATTTTTGTGTTTTTTTAATGTATGTTGTGTGCTGTTGGCAGCATATCAAGGCGATCATCACTTCTGATGAGGTTAGTTTACTCTTTGTTTTCTTTTTTTTTCCACAGTCACTTAGATTTCTAGGGTTTTTGGAGTATTTAGGGTTCATGTTAGACCTTGAGAAATCGATGAGCTTGACAGAACCTAGTAAAACATTGGGCTTGTTACCCAATTTTTTTTTTGGAAATTATATACATCGACATGCTTTCAAATTATGAAAAAAAACAATAAAAATTCCTAGTAAATGTTAATGGCCTTCAAAATCTAAGATCTGACCATATTGGATAGGTTCTTAGTTTGATTTATTCATAGTTCCATCCATTGATTGCTTAGACCATCATTATCGGCGTCCCTGATATGGTCCTTAAGGGGAGAGGATCCACAAAAATACCAGGACCGAAGAGGAAAGTCCTTATATAAGTAACGTCCTTGTTGGTCATTGCTGCTTCGTCCTTTGAAGCGTCATGCGTCCTTTGCCTTTTTGATTTTAAGGACTTAAAATCGTCCCAACGATAATGATGGCCTTAGAGAATTAGGGTTTAGCATTCCATAAATATTTTTTTTTTACTTCCATGTCTTTTGATGGAGGATTTTCAATGAAGATAAACATTATATCATCTTGTATTAATAACTTGATTTATTACAGGTTTTGCTTCGGGATCCATCACATGAAAGTGTTATCCCCATTGTGAAGGAGCTTGAAAGACGCTTACCTGTTGGAAACCAAGTAAACCATGGTCAAGGAGATGGGAAAGAGAGCTCAGCTGCACATAATGACACTGATGCTGGTGAAGAAGATGGTACTATCTCCACATACTCTTCCCTTTTCAAAACACTTGAAATTTTTCTTTCTTTTTTGGTTTATTAACTAAAATGTCTGCTTGTTGCATTATAGAATCCCCATTTGAATTCCGTGCACTGGAAGTTTTCTTGGAAGCAATATGTAGCTTTTTAGCTGCAAGGACGACAGAGTTAGAAACATCTGCTTATCCTGCTTTGGATGTGCTTACCTCAAAGGTAGACAACCTCAACGTTTAGTTATCACCAGTGATTCAATTTTTCAACTCTTTTTTTTAGTTTTTACATTAACCTTGCAGATTTGTAGCGGTAATTTGGATAGAGTTCGGAAGTTAAAGAGTGCCACGACTCGGTTGACAGCTCGAGTTCAAAAGGTGAGGGCATTGTTAATCTCTTACAGTTTATAACAGAAATAAATAATTAACAACCTTAATTAATATCATTTAGGTGAGAGATGCGCTTGAACATTTGCTGGAGGATGACGATGATATGGCTGATCTTTACCTTTCAAGGAAACTCTCTACTGCTTCCTCAGTAGCTAGTAGTCCAAATTGTTATCTTACTTCCCCAACAATATGCTGTAAGATGTCAAGAGCTAGTGTAGCCACAGTTCGTGAGGATGAAAATGATGTTGAACAACTTGAAATGTTGCTCGAGGTTGGTTCTTAATTGACAAATGTTTTTTATTTTTTTTTATTTTTTTATCTTATCTATTTTTCACAAGTGAAGTCTAAAAACATATGTTTCGATATCTTTTTTTCAGGCATACTTCATGCAAATCGACAGCACTTTGAACAAATTAACAACAGTTATCTTCTTGCTTCTTTTTTTTCTTGTCATAAATTCCACAAATAAAATTTCTAAAAATTGTTCTTCTAACTCCCAGTTTCTTTGATGCAGCTACGTGAGTATATCCAAGACACTGATGATTTCATTAACATTCAGGTAACCATATTTATTATATTTTCTCTTTTATTTTGCTAAAACTTGGTGCATTATTATGTGTTCATGAAATCTCAATAATAATAATTATATCATAGTCTAAAGCCTATAACATTGGTTTTTTGGTTTTGTAGATGGACTATCGTCGTAATCAGCTGATTCAGGTAAGTGAATCTTGAAAGCTGAAGTGTTTCTTTCTATCATTCTCTTGATCATATGAAAAAAAAAAACCTTGCAGTTGGAGGTTTTCTTAGGTTCTGGAACCGCTTGCTCAGCGTTTTACTCTCTTATCGCTGGAATTTTCGGGATGAACATTCCATACACATGGAATGATAACCATGGCTACATGTTCAAATGGGTATGTATAACCAAATCTCTATTTGCTTGATATATAGAATACAATAGTTTTTTGTTTTTTTTTTTTAGAATACAATAGTTCTCAGGGTTAAATCGGTTTTGTTGTTGCAGGTTTGTATCGTGACGGGTGCAATTTGTGTGATCTCGTTAGTATTCATAATGTCGTACGCTCGGTTCAAACGACTTATGTGATCTTGATAGGTTTAGAGATAGGTTTTATAGCTTTGAGAATTTGAGACTTTTAATTGTAAAAGAGGAGCTTTACTCTATACTTTTTTTAGTTTTAGAGTTTTTAAACCAAAGTTTTTTATAAGCCAACAAGCTTGTGACCATCCTACCAAACTATGCAACTTTGAAACTTTGAGCTTTTAAGGAAATTAAAAATATACATCTAGCTTTCAAGAAGCACGGTATATGTTATATGATTTATATATTCTCTTCATGACTTAGGTAATTCACACAATCATACTTCTCTGAGGTTTTGAGCTTTCCACTGATAGAAAATAAATTAGCAGTTTTTTTACTACAGTAAACAGACTTTTGAAGTAAAAGATGTTCTGCAGACTGCAGCGAGCGAACTCTTAAAACTCTATACATGAAGTCAAAACCTAGACGTTGTCTCAAAGTAATACAACAAGGCTTTCGTGTTTCCACATACATTTGTTTACCAGATTTTTTGTAATTGGACATAATATAAAGTATAGAAATGTACTATAAAATATTGGCAACGTCAGCAGTTCGCGTGGAGAGTTGAGGCCGAGGCTGACGTGATCATTTTAGTCAATAAAATATTAAGATTCCTTTTATTTTATTCATTTTGTACTTTTCCTCTAAATAAATAATTAGATTCTTCCACTCTGCAAGGAACCTAATTGGCTGACGTAATCCGAATTGCCTCTTGGAACAACAAAAAATCAATTCTTGTAAATAGTCTTCTTGTATATGGTGCGGTCCGTTACGACAAAATTGATATATCAATTCACATAGGCCGCACTAAATATAAATAAATTGTTCATACTTGTTCTCACACGCACTGACGCACATCTAACATTTTCCTCGAATTAATCAATTAATTAGGTTATCTCAAACGAAATTTTTGCATTTATGTACATATTTTTAAATGATGTTAGTTTTTCTTATATTTGAAGAAAAAATTATTGTAATGTTCAATCAGACATCATTAGAAGTCGTGAACAAAAAACCTGATATAAAACTAATAAAGATAAGCAAGCCTTTTTGTGTGTTTATGCTTGTTTTCTAATATACACACAACTCTAAACTTGATGTTTTGATTAGAGTATGCCTTTTGTTTTAGTAGACACTTACCCTTTTAACATATAGATCTAGTTATAGATCTACACGTGAAATTACAATGACAAAATAAAAGAGAATTATTATAAGCTTTATGCCACAAGTGCTGGGCATTTGGATAGTGGAATCTAATTCAAAATTCAATAATATTAAGTTTCATGATGCCAGCTAATTCTATATGTTACTCCATATTTCTGGAATGAGAAAATATTGTTTTATCTTATTTATAAACACATAAAATAACAAAAAAAAACACTAAACTTAATACTCAATCAGCCGATATATCATCATCAATAAAAAAAACCCAGTTTAAAACTACGATGACGTCATAAAATTTTGAAAAGGAATCAGTTTTGTCGCGTTAAGACGATAATGGGTTTCCATTTTAAATCAGAAGTGACTTGTCGGAACAACACTACCACTCGAAATTCAAACAGAGAACATAAGGGGGTATATAAGACTTCTTCCTCTTTAAACACGGCGTTGTTTTCGTCGAAAAGCAAATTTTAATAGATTACCCAAAATAGAGCACTGTCTCATCCAATAAGAACCGTTACTAACGACGGTTACAAAGGGTATTTCGGGAAAGTTCACATGGATTCTTTCTTTCTCGCGGGTTATTAACGAGAAAGACCTGAGCCGTCCAAGCTCATACATAATATCTCCACTCTTCTCTCTCTCACCGATAATATTTAGACACCTGTGTTCAGTCTTTTTTGTTTCTTCTTCTTCTTCTTCCTCTTACCTAGATTTTGAGACTAGGAGATTCTCAGTTTCCAAGGTTTCTTTTTCTTTTTTCTCTCTGCTTACAAAATCTCTCTCTCTCTCTCTTGTCTCTCAGATCCATCAGGTTTTTATTTCTCCTTTTAGAAACTTTTGTTGCTTTTATTAGTGATCAATTGAGTACTGAATGATGAATCAGAATGCATGGTTTGTATTTCTTTTTGTTACTACTTTAAATGTTTCTGTTCTTGTCTTATCATATTAAGCTCTTCTGTTGTTGTCTGAAATTGGGTTATGTTCTTTGACCTTCAAGATGTAACAATTCTAATATTAGTATCGTTTCCTTAATGATTGAACTGATTGATTATCATAGAACCTTTGTGTAACGACCCGGATTTCGGTTTCAGAAATTATTAATCGGCTAAGCCCGAACTCACTCCCGAAAGCCCATTTCTTCCCTTATAAATCCCAGCTTCAGCCCATCAATTCATTTTCTTACAAAAATCAGAAATTAGAGAGAGAGAAAGGGAGAGAGAAGAGAGAGAGTTCTAGAGTGAGAAAGGGGAAATATTTGTTTCTGAGCCACCGCCGGAGCTCGTCCGGACCACCACTCGTCGACACCAGGCAGAGCTCATCACCACCGTCCACCACGGCCAAAGTAACCGGAAATCGCAGTGAGTTGAAGCTTTGTTTTCTCCGTTTAGTAAATCGTCAATAACTTCTGAACCGTTGAGAATCTCGTGCATGCAAGGCCACCAATGTGTTCTACTCGTCGAGACGAAGCCATAGACACCAGAAACGTCGAAATCCGAGCTCGGAGCCGCCGTCACGCGCCCCCGCAAGATTCCCCTCCGCGCGCGCGAAAGCCACGCGCCGCCGCCGCTCGCCGGAGCCGCCGCCGGACCGCCGTGCCGCCGCCGCCGGAGCCGCCGTCCCTCCGCCGCCGGGCCACCGCCGGACCGCCGCCGGACCACCGCCGGACCGCCGTCGCCGCTGGTGACCGTCGCCGGTGACTCGCCGGTGACTCGGTCAACTCGGCCGGGTCAACCCAGCGAGTCAACTCGGTTGACTCGGTAAACCGGTGGTTTGACCGGTTCAATTGAATTGCGATTTGGTTAAGGTAAACCGATGGTTAAAATTAATTGAATTTCGGTTAGGAGTAAACCGGATTGAAATCGATTAGGTTTGGTTCAATTGGATTCGAAATCGGTTAAGGTCAAACCGATTGGTTAGGTCAAATTGATTTCTGGTCAAGGGTTGACCGGGTTGACTTTGACCTGCGAGTTGACTTTTCCGTAATCGCTCGTTTTCGACCGTTCGAAGGTCATTCTGACTCGGAATTTCGATCTGATTTCAGATTTGGGATCTATTTGAGCAGCTGGAGTTCATAGATACCACTTTTCCCCAGTTGCTAAGGTGAGGGTCTACTTCCGAACGATTCGTACGCGATTTAGAACTTTAAATAAATATAATTTATTTCTAATGTGTTCCGTCTTTGTGAATTAAGTCTAATTTAGGGTCTGATTG